CCCCCCCCCAACCCAGCATGCCGTCCTCTGGTCTGGCTGCTGCGAATATTGTAGGGCGTGAATTGCAATCTTCTTATGTAACAGTGAAGCATACGTACAGAAAAGGGCTGGAAAAGAAGACAAGTGCATTATAGTCCTGGCACCTTTCGATTTTGTTCTACATCACAGGGATGCAGTCTGTGAACAAGTAAAAATTCCGAGGGAAAGGGAAACAAACTTCCGTACCTTGAGACAGTGTCACGCGGTGGGACAGGCTGCACCCACGTACCCAAGCAGAACCCCCAGCTTCGGGGCTTGGTGATCAGATCGAATTATCACAGCTATTTCTGGTCCGGCCTGAGGCTAGCAAGCGGCTCTCCCAGCGTCTCCCTAGCTCGAAATTCTGGGAGTAGGTCATCCTTTCCCAGAAGCCTCCTCCGTGGGCTCAGGAAGGAGGGAGAGGCACAAAGGGGAGGGAGAAGTGGCGGGGGACCCAGTCCTGGCGCGTGAGGGCGCCGTGGGCCACAGCGTGCAGACCCCGGCCCGCTGCAGAGCAGGGCACAATCACCGCACACTGCCGGCCCCCAGGGCCCTCAGCCCAGGGATGCCGTCCCTCGTGGCAGAGAAGGCAGGGCTGCCGAATCCGGCCACAGAGCTCAGACACCAGGGAGAAGCAGCCGCCGGTGGTAAGGGCCTCGGAAGCATCCGTCTTCTTTCAGGAAGGACGCATAATTATGAGCCTCCGTGCAGGACAAGGGGACGGTCGCTCTGAACACACAGGATCCCACACCTCGCGTGACCGCCTATGTAGGGCCGGCCAGAGGGAGTGGGCCCCTCGGGAACCAACCGCACCGTCCCCGCTCAGAGCCACCAGGTGCGGCACTCGGGAGCGCGGACCCGGTGGCACCAGATCTAAAGAGCTTTCCGAAAAACTGCTGAAATGTACTACGTGAAATCCTCCAATTCCCCAAGGCGGGCAGCGAATTCGAATTCATTTCAAAACACCTCGTGGGCCAAAGAAAACACATCTGTGGATCGTGCCCCAGTGCCTTTGGAGGCTCCCGAACCCACTCCAGGGCCGCAGACTCTGAGACCTGGGGTTTTAAATCACAGCAGCATCGTTCCAACTACGCCGCGTGCACATTGAAAGTGCTTTTCTGTGGCCTTGAAGTAGAACAAGCCTTCCTCCGATCGTACTTACACTTCACTTCCTGGGCCTTGGGGCACAAAGTTTCCACCAATCAAATTAGGCTAAAATTCTAATTCGGGGGCACCTGGGTGGCTCAGTTGGTGGAGCATCTGACTCTTGAT